TGAGAGGCTCTGGATGAACTTTGCATTGTTTTATACATTCAGCGGCATTCTTGTCGCTCTATCGGTCGAAATGAGGGACTTGTACTTAACCTGGGGAGAAGACGCCTTTGGCGTAAGTGAAGAATATAATTTGACAATTGGATAGATCGAGTCTAAAATTTGGCAAATTACTTCACAGCGATTTTAAACAATGTTCAAATAAAGAACGACATTCCAATTACAGGAAACTATTTACATTACGTGCAACGTTATAACTATCATTTTGGTTCTAATGAAAATCTTCGTCTTGTTAATATATTACGATGAGCTGCAAGACATAATTCATTATGCGAAAAGGAACTTTTGGCACCTGGATTACGACTCGTACGAGCAAATGATTATAAATAAATGTAAACGTACTTGCACCATCTTCGTTTGCATTTTCACTTTCTTCGCTGAGGGAACAGTTACCACTTATATAATTAGACCACTTGTAGGTAAGATATTTAAGCCTAAAGTAATTATTATAAGATAAAATAATTTTTTTTTCGACGAATGTGTGTGTGTGTATCTTAACCAGAGATCGTTTGTTATTAATTTTAATAATTAAGCACGCTTTTAACACAACACTTTAATAGTGGAATACGTCAAATATAATTAAGCAATTAATTGTTGGAATTGTTTCATCGATATCATAGCTTGCGAAAAAGATTGCTAGCATTTTTCCAAAAAATAATGTTTTTAAAAAGAATTATGTCTAGGTGTGCTCCTACTTTTCCGATAAAATTGAAAAGGCATATTCTATAGCTGGAAATAAGAGCCGTAATTCATTCAGCAGAATGAAATTTCTGAATATAAGGGAAGGGGAAAGAACTCCGAACAGCAACTTAACTGCCATTTTCTTTAGCTTCGGTAGTATTGATAAAAAATTTTGAGAAATTTTACAATATATTGAATTTATACTAATTAATACCAGATACTGACTTTCTACATCGATATCAGAATATTTCAATGTGTATAGGGCCCTTAGGTTAGATGAAAAACTAATTTCTAAATGATTTATAATTATGTGTAAAGAATAATCATACCTAACCAGTATCATTCTAATAATTTAAAATTGTGAACATGTAGATGCAAACGATCGCAAACGCACACGTGTATTTATATTGTATTGTAATATAAACGATTATTAATAAAACTGAGTATCTATGTAATATTATATTTTTATGAAGATAAATGAAAGCATAGATAAAATTATTTTACCTACTGAATACCATAAATATGTATCGTCCTTTAAACACTTCATATTTCATATTTATGCGCATTCTTGCAATTCCCTATAAATGCATAAAAGTTCGCAGTCTACTAATAATTAATATTCTTGCTTAAATCCTGTAAAAAATCTTTTGTAGTAAACCACGGAAGGGATGAATCAGATAGAATACTTCCATTTAACATACGGCTTCCCGATTATCGTATATCATTCACGCCGTATTTTGAAATATTATTCACGCTACAGGTATTGGCACTTACTTGATTTACAATATTAACAGATTTTTTTGTAAATAACTTTTAATTATCTTGGCTGTTTCTACAGGTCATATGTGCGCATCTCGTTGGCGTGTGCTACCATTGCTTCGACAATATACTATGCATCTTAAATCTACACACCGCTGCTCAGTTCCGTATCTTGCAATATAGACTTGCAAATGTGTGCAACACAAACGATCACAAAAAATTCCACGAACGTTCGGGAAAATCACGATACAGCATGTACAAATATGGAATGTTTAAAGCTCACATTCAACAGCATCAAGCGCTGATTGAATTCTGTAGACAACTCGAAGACGTGTTCAGCTTGCTTGTACTTGGACAAGTGTCGCTGTTCAGTTTGTTAATCTGCCTCGATGGATACTTGATACTTATGGTTAGCTGCGTCTTAATTTCCT